TTAAAATATAAAACAGATAGAAATGGTAGAAGACATGGGACTGGGCAGAAGGGATGGAGGACGGGTGATGAAAATTGAAGTCCTGTCTATGTAAATTTCTCAGTGGCTTCTGAGACACCACAATAAAACCAAGCCTACAAAATGACTGCAGTAGTCCAATACTCTAATTTTATAAATCACAGAAAGGGTGCTCTTGGGCATGAGAAGTGACTTGTTCAAGGTCACACAATTAGTAACAGAGTAGGAAATGGACTCAGCTCACAGAATGTTCCTCTACTGAATTCAGCTTTTCTGAGGAGTACCTTGAAATATCCCACACCTTCTGCAAGTGTCTAAAATTTCAGTACCCAAGATCCATTGTTTACTGTCCCCATGTAGTATATACATATTTTTTATTTTAATTTTATTGTGATTTGGGTGAAAGTTTACAGAGCAAACTCATTTTCCATACAGCAGTTCATATACTTTATCTCATGACATTGACTGCAATCTCCCACAATGCAACAGTTCTCCTTCCACTTCCTCCCCATAGCCACCTCTTCCCTGTGCCCTTCCCTCCCATGCACTCCTGCCCGCCCCCCCCCCCCAGCTGTCTCCCTGTGCATCCACAGCCCTTTTATTTTCCCATGATTGATCTCGACAAGGAGTGAATCTACCTAATGTAAATGTTCAGCTCCTATGCTTGTGTTTTGTTTAGCTAGAAACCATAGAACTGGGTTCAATTACAGACCTGAAGGGCAGCTAGGGTCCACAGTCTCAGGGGTTCCATCACATACGTAGTATATTTTAAAAATAAAATGTTATGGAAAGAAACCTTATGGGGAGAGGGGATATGACATACTGAGCAACTGTAATATTAACTTTTTACTGTGAAATGGTGATTTTTCTCTTTGGAAGTTTCTAGAGGATGCTAAGTGAACTGACATACTTACTGATAAAGGTAAGAGATAAGGGAAATTTTTTTTTTTCAGGTTTTAGTTCCTGGATTCTGGGAGGGGTGACTGAGTGAAGCCTAGGAATAGCTTGTGGGGTGGGGGCAGGTGCAACCTCTCTTGCTGCCTTCTATGTAGTATCTTTTTCCCTCCATTGTTCAGTAATGTCTCATACCTACAAGTGACACATAGGTTGCCTAGCATTCATTCCAGGACCCTGAATCTATTTTAATGCCCCAAACCTCAACTCCTCTAGTTCTACCCAAGGTTCCAACTTCCCTGGCTAGACTGGTACTCCCTGAAGTAAGGGCTCATGTCTTATGCAGCTTGGTAGCATCAATACCAAAGGCACATGTCCTGGCACACCATGGTGAGTCAAAAAGTGTTTAATAAACCTACTAAAATCTCTGGTGGTGTAGTGCCTAAGGCACTTGACTGCTAGCCAAAAGGCTGGGTTCAAACCCACCAGCCACTCCTCAGAAGGAAGGTTGGGCTATCTACTTCTGTAGTGATACTGCCTCGGAAACTCAAGGAGGGATCGCTATGAGTCAGGTGTGACTCCATGGCACATAAAAACAACAGCTCCCTGTAATATTCCTGTGTCTCTTAAAAGTTCAGAGCCTACTTGGTGCAATGCACTAACTTAGGTGGTGCAGGTCCAGAGATAAGTAAGCGTAGTTAACGCTCTTATTAAACTTTCGTTCTTGAATGAGTGATAGAATGTGTTGTTGTTATGTGCCGTCGAGTCAGACCCGACTCATAGTGACCCCTCCTTGGGTTTCTGAGGCAGTATCTCTACGGAAGTAGATTGCCCCATCTTCCTTCCGAGGAGTGGCTGGTGGGTTTCAACCGCCAGCCTTCTGGTTAGCAGTCAAGTGCCTTAGGCACTATGCTACCAGAGCTCCTGATAGACATGTAGCCAAATAAATTAGAAGTCAGTGGTGCACAGACCAAACCAAAAACCAGACCCACTGCCATTGAGTTGACTCTGACTCATAGCGACGCTGTAGGACAGAGTAGAACTGCCCCATAAGACTTCCAAGACTGTAAATCTTTACGAAAGTAGAATGCCTCATCTTTCTCCCGCGCTGGGGGGCTTCAAACCACCAACTTAACAACAACTAAAATCTCTAATCTCTATGGTTTTATAAATAACGTCCCGCAGGCTGAGTATTAATGCACGCAAAATCACCTTAGAGATAATATCTTCTTCTCTGCCTCCATACAATCTCTCAGATCAATCTCGGTGCTTCTCCCATTGTTTTCTTTCCTTATATTTGTGCCCGGGACTAGCTCAGGGTGGGACCCAAAGTTGTTCTCGGCGTCCTGAGAAAGCCAGAAAGGACAGAAATTCCTTGGCCACTCAGAACCTCCAGAAAGGCAGCAGGCAGATCTCCTCCAGAACCTCCAGAAATGAGCACGCTCCAGGACTCAGCTTCTAAGGCAACCGTACAGAGACAAGTTTTCCTCCATAATCGTTTCTGCTGGGAGGACCCAGGCACGGGCTCCCACGGATGTCTCTATGGTTTCGACAGCCTAGAACTACCAAGTCAGCATTTCCGGGAAGATGGCGGCGCCCAAGTCTAGTCTGGCACGTGTTCCCACGGAGGGGACAGCGCAATGACGGTAAGGGGCACCTACTTGTCTTTTGAAATGGTAGCTAGCGGAGCCAGGCTCAGGAGCAAATGTGAGGTGGAGAGTGTAGGCTTACCCAAATGAGACTGCGTCGGGGACTGCAGTGTAGACTCCAAGAGGAAGGAGGCCTCGGGAAACTGGCTTGGCCACTCCAGAAAACGCCGGTTGACTGGAGAGAAGACAGTGTCTTTAAGTGTGTTCGTAGCCTTTGCAAAAACTGCTGCTCACAGTCTGGGACCTTGTGGCGTCTGTCCATAGTTATCTGTGAAAATGATTCCAACCTATTTATCATTCAGTTCAACTAATGCGACAGAACGCATTAATCGATTCCTGGCGCGGCATTAAGTGCACTGGGATAGGGGAATAAAGCCCGTTTCTGGCTTCCGAAGGGTATAGCTTTGAATTGCTGCGACAATGAGTAGAATGTGGTAAGTCTTAAGGCAACAAGCACAAAGAGCTGTAAGAGAGTGAAACGTAGTAATTTAAGAACAGTTCTGAAATACCTACCCGTCCTGTATCTATTTGCTGGCTACAGTGAAACCTGTGGGAGCCAGAAGTCGATGCGACTGCCTTGTTTTTCTGGGTCTGCTTTTAAGAGGGTGGAGTCTTACCACTGCTCGGTTTAGGGGAAAATACTAGAGTTTTCCTTTTCTAACAGGGGTTCCAGCTTTCACAGATTTTACTGTATTTGATTTGAGCAAGTAACTGTACCTCACAGTGCCTGTTTCCTCATATGTAAGTGGTATCTATTAACACCTCGAGGTCAGATCTGTCTTCTGGGAGAAGGCAGAGTTTTGAGATGGCCTTTAAGGCCTCCATGTTTGAATTTTACTTCTCATGGTATCAAGAAGCAAGGTGAAGTCATTTCTTAACACTTTTCTGTTGAAACTCTCATGATATCAATTAGGTTTTCAAGTAATTGACCTTCACAGTGGAAATGTGCACATTGTTCTGAGTCATCCTGCATTTGCTGCTCTTTGGGCCTAAGAGATTGGTTACCATTCTTGAGCCTAATTTATAATGTTTAGGAGGATTTACTGTAATAATGCTGCTGTTTTTTCTAAACATACTATGAAATTGTCTTAAACTCAGATGAAAAGTTTATTACCCTTCAGAGTTGTCACTTTGGGAGGCTAAGAATTATTCCAATGATGCCCATTAATCAGCTTTTAAAAATTGCCTCCAATGCCAATAATAAATGAACTGTCTACAGATCTTAGTACAAGTTGATTGTGAGTCAAGTTAACATTAGTAGTCTTAGTTTTGAATGTCTTACACCATCTTAAACATTTTGGAGGCAAATTTGGTATATAAGTAATGACATTGTGAGTCCAAAACGAGGAACACTGTGTGATGGTAAAGAATTGCTGCTAGTTGGTGACAGACTAGAAAGAGAACTAACTCTGGGGTCAAGCAACCTACGCTCATATTCTAGCACCGTCTCTAATTAGCTGTGTAACCTCAGGCAGGAAACCCAGGCCTTATTTTCCTTATTTGTAATATGAGGATAATACCTATCTCGCAGAGCTGCCAAGATTAAATGAAATAATATATGTAATACCAGTTGCCATCAATTCTGACTCATGGTGACCCTGTGTGTGTGAGAGTAAAACTGTGCTCCATAGTATTTTCAATGGCTGATCTTTTGAAAGTAGATTGCTAGGCCTTTCTTCTGAGGTGCCTTTGGGTGGATTCAAACCATCACCTTTTCAGTTAGCAGCCTAGCACTTAACTGTTTATGCCACCCAGGGACTCCCTTTGTTATGCATTAAGTGCTCAATAAAAGCGCCTTTCCTAACCTGGATAGTTTCAAAAGGGGAGCTCCAAAGAAGCTGAAAAACAGTGGCGGTGTGGGAGTAGGTATGTAGCCTATACACTGGAAGGACAGTGTAAATGCTGGAGCATAGCTCTAGGCTGTGGGCTCTTTTAAGTACCCTTATAACTTAGATTAACAAGCACCTCATAGCTTTGTTTTACATAGTAATATATTTTCAGAGATGTTACTATGTAGTGGTAAAGAGTGCAGACTGCCTGTGTTTGAATTCTATACACATTCACTGAGTAACCTTGAACAAATCACCTAAACTCTTTAGGCCTTAGTTTCCTCATTTGTATAATAGGGATAATAAAACTTTTCTAAATGGGCTGGGAAGATTCAATGAGATTATCCATGTAAAGCCTTAGCATAGCCTGGCATGTGGTAAGCTCCTATTAACATCCTTGACTTTCTTCATGTGTTGATGTTGGCCTCACTGCAGTCAGCCCTTAACTCCAGAACTCCTTCTGCTGTCTCCTCAAGGCCCAGGAAAGAATTCTTACAGGAGCTGTCAGGATGGAGTTGATGGATGATTTGAGTACTTTTTCTTTTCCTCTGAAAGGGATGATAGTGACTTCTTCCCTGATGAAGGCCTAAGGACAGACTTTTATCTCACCATGAGTGTTACCCCAGAAGTCAAGAGTCGTGGGATGAAGTTTGCTGAGGAACAGCTGCTAAAGCATGGATGGACTCAAGGTGATCACCATAAGGCCCCTTCCACATCCCCCAACTCTTCCAGGAGAAAGGCCAGACTTAAGCATCCTGGCATTACCCCACATATAGACTATTCAGTTAGAGGTGAAAAAGCTAGTTTAAAGAGAAGTGTGCAGACGACATTTTCTGACTTTTCTAGAAAGGGGAAGAATGGAAGAAATTTGACAGTGGGTGGTGAGAAAGAAGAGGTTGGGAGGACTAGGAGAGAGAGGAAGAGACATGGCTTTTGTCCTGAAGAGTTATAAAGAGATAGTTCAGGCTTGGACAAAGGCAGGGGGACTGCAAGGAGTGGTGCTACATGGCCACTTGCAAGCTTTTAAGATCCCAGTCGCTACACACTAAAGTAGGATGTGGAACAATGTTTTGGTGCTGGAAGGGACTGGGGGCAGGGTTTCCAGCAGAGATGGAATATGGCCCAGTGCTGTGTGTGGAATGGCAAGGAGTGGCATGTGTGGGGTGGGTGCCTTGTGAGGGCTTAGGGCAGGCAGCAGGATGAATCAAGTCACTCACTGTCCTGTGCAGGCAAAGGTCTGGGCCTGAAGGAGAATGGCATCACCCAGCCCATCAAGGTGACACTGAAGCAGGATACTCATGGGGTAAGACTGGATAGGTAGAGGGAGGTTGGTATGGATGGGAGAAGGCAGCCCTTGAAGACAGGCAAGGCAGGTGCTCAGAGCTCATACTTTTTTCCCTGGCAGGTAGGACATGACCCTGCCAAGGAGTTCACAAACCACTGGTGGAATGAGCTCTTCAACAAGACTGCAGCCAACTTGGTAGTGGAAACTGGGCAGGTACGAACGCTAATAAATAGGCACATGAAACACAAGGGCATAGGACATGTAGAGGTGAGGGATACATGGCTTGTCACCCACTCACTAATACTTTTCCACAGGACGGGGTACAGATAAGGCACCTTTCTAAGAAGTCTACCCATCGTGATCGTCCCAAGCCCAACTTGATGTATCAGAAGTTTGTGAAGGTATGAGAGGCTTGGGGTGAAAGGGCATCCTTTTTCCTTTCCTGGTCTCCCCCTGGGGCCTGAGCAATTGTCTTCTGAGCCCTACGTACTCTCAGAACTGCCCTAACATAGTGGGATCCTGTGACCCCCTTGTTGTTGCTCCCTTAGACTGCCTAGATCCTCAGTAAGAACTGAGATCTTCAGGTTCCACAGATCCCTAACATTTGCTGAGGGGGTAGCAATAGGGGTAGGAGGTGGGCATAGTCCCTCCAGTCAGGAGCTGCCAGAGCAGGGTGGGAGGTATTTGAGACCCGAGAGATTATCTAGTCCATCCTCCTTATTTTGCAGATGAGGCCAGAAAGGGCAGAATGACTTGCTGAAGAGCCCACACCTGATTAGTAATGGCAGACAGGACTAGAGCTCAGGTCTTCAGACTCCTGTTTTCTACTGTCTCCTGCTGGCACTGTACAATAGAGGGGAGCTAATCCTTAATGGTCAAATATTACATGCCAGTGGCTTTGCATGTTATCTAGTAAGTCTTTCCCACTTCTCTAATCTCTCCCACTTCATGTCACATCATCTCTTGCATAATTTCTTTTTTTTAATTTTTATTGTGATTTGGGTGAAAGTTTACAGAGCAAATTCATCTTCCATACAGCAGCTCACATACACTTATGACGTTGACTGCAATTTCCCACAATGCAACAGCTCCCCCCTCCTACTTCCTCCCCATAGTTACCTCTTCCCTGTGTCCTTCCTCCAATGCACTCCTGACTCCTGTTCCCCCAGCTGTCTTCCTGTGCATACACAGCCCTTCTATTCTCCCGTGATTGTTCTCGCCAAGCAGTATATCTACCTAATGTAAATGTTCAGCTCCTATACCTGTCTTTTGTTTGGCTGGAAGCCACGGGAGTGGGTTCAATTCCAGACCTGAAAGGCATTTAAGGCCCATAGTCTCAGGGGTTTCACCAGGCTCTATCAGACCAGCAAACCTGGTCCCTTTTTTTTTTTTTATGATTTTGAGTTTTGTTTCACATTGTTCCCCCACTCTATCCAGGATCTCCCACATAGATCCCCCTCTGAGTGGTTGACAGTGTAGTTGGGAACTATCTAGTTCTTCTGGTCTCATAGTCGTATAGGCTGAGGATCGTAGGGTGTATGTACTAGGTGTACGAGGAGAGACCCATCATTGCATCTAGATGGCCACTTGCAAGCTTTTAAGATCCCAGTTGCTACTCGCCAATGTTTTTTCGTGTAGTATATTATGCCAGTTGAGCTGGACCTGTGACCATGGTCCTGAGCCCAGAGGTCCAACTGCTTGCTCCCTCTGGGTAGCTGTCTATGGCCAAGAAGTGACTACAACCTTGTCCCTTGTCAGCTCTACTATATATCTGGAAATTCTTACAGAACATACAAATATACTTGTAGAAACATTGTCTGCCCACCCTATATATGGTCATGAGCACATTCCCTCTGCATAGACATACCTAATCATTCAGCCTGTCCACCCATCTGTCCACCTGTAGATCAGTGTTTGCCATCACTGACAACACAGTACTGTATGTGCAAAAGGGTTCATCTTTGTTGTCTGTACCTCCCATATACCTCCCTGTCTTCCTCTTCCTTAATGCCACTGTGTTGCTCACTCACATTTGGTATATTGCCCATCCCTTCACCCAAATCAGTACTTTTCTACCTATCTAGCAGTGTTCCCTCCCCTCCCCTTCCACCCCTAGTAACCAACAAAGAAAATTTCCTTCCATATGTAAACCTTTCTTTGACTTTTTACAATAACAGACTAATAACAATATCTGTCCTTCTGTGACTGACTTATTTCACCCAGCATAGTGTCCTCCCAAGTTCATCCATGTTATGCGGTGTTTTGCATATTCTACATTATTTAGTGTTGCATAGTATTCCATTTTGTTTATGTACCATAGATTGGTTATCTGTTCTTTTGTTGATGGGCACATAGGTTGGTTGTATCTTTTTGCTATTGTAAATAGTGCTGCAGTGAACATGGGTGTGCATATATCTGTTCTTATCCTGGTTCTCACTTCTTTAGTATGTTGTTGTTATGTGCCGTTGAGTCGGACTCGACTCATACTAACCCCTGCTTGGGTTTCTGAGGCAGTATCACTACAGAAGTAGATTGCTCAGCCTTTCTTCTGAGGAGTGGCTGGTGGGTTTGAACTGCCAGCCTCCTGGTTAGCAGTCAAGTGCCTTAGGCACTATGCTACCAGAGCTCCTCTTGTTTAGTAAATATACATAGTAATGGGATTGCTGGGTCAAATGGTATTTCTAATTCCAGCTTTTTAAGGAATTGCCATACTGCTTTCCACAGTGGTTGTATCATTTTACAGTCCCACTAACAGTGTATGAGAGTCCCAATCTCTCCACATCCTCGCCAGCATTTGTTATTTTCTGTCTTGTTGAACTTTGCTACTAGTACTGGGGTAAGATGGTATCTCATTGTTGTTTTGATGTGCATCTAATTCTTGCCTAATTTCTTTAAAAGCCTCCTAACCAAACTCCTTACCTGTAGCCTAACTCTCCACCCTAATCAGTCCATCCTTCACAAAGTATCCAGAGTGTTCTAAAACAGATCTCATCATGTCACTGGCTCCTTTTTGACTAGGATGAGTCCTGACTTACAGCATGGCTTACATGGCCCTTCATGCCTTGTCCCTGCTTCTTCTCCAGCTTTGTCTCTTGCCATTTCTCCCCAGGACCTGCACATTTCAGCCAGATAGAATTTGTTTCTCTTCTTTGAAAGTACTATGCACTCTTTTACCTTCATACTTTTCCATGCTATTCCTTCTGTCTGGGACATTCTTTTCCCTTTACTTGGTGATTTTTTTCTTGTTTCCAGAGCTCAGCTTCCATATAATTCTAGAACTCCTTACCTGAACCCTGAAATGTGAGTTAAGTGCCTTAGGTGCCTCTCCTGCAGCACCAGGCGACTCTTCCATCGTAACTGCCTATGTTCTGCCACATTCTTCTCCCCACCAACATGGAAATTCTTTGAGTTGGATCCATCTCATTCTTACTCTACTCTGTATCCCCAGCCCTGGCCCATAGTAGGTTCTCATTAAATACCGGTCAAATGGTCAAAGGTTCAGGGCTTGGGAAGGTTCCATCTCATGAGCTACTGGCTCCATGGGATAACCAGCAGGGACATTTAAGACTACTGGGAATACCTGATGACCCAGAGCCCCTCCCTTGAGGGTAAGAGTTCAGCCACTCCCTTCTTCTAGAGCTGCTCCCTCTCCCAGCAACTGCTGCCCACCTCCAGCCCAAGCTGAAGCTGCAGGATGACACATCTATGTGGGTCTACAATGTTGGGGGCTGGCAGATTTGTGCCTATGGCTATGAATTCTTGGGGGGCTTCCATGAGGGAACAGGGACAGTAGTGGTGTTAAGTGTGCCTTGTCCACCCCTATGATACCTCCTTCTAGATGGCCACGCTGACCTCAGGTGGAGAGAAACCAGACAAGAACTTGGAGAACAGCACTGATGACGACAGCCAGGGGCCCAAGTCCCCAAAGATGTGAGACTTAATTTTAGTGCTGGGGGCATGTGGGGGGAGATGCCCTCGACCTCAAGAGAAAAGACTCAATTCTGCTGCTTGACGTGGGCTTCTGGTGGGGTGTACTAATCTTGTATCCCCAGTACCTAGAAAAGTGCCAAGTCCTGAAGAGTAACCCTATGCTGAGGGAATGTTTTAAAGGGGAAGAGAGGTTAAGCTTTTTCTCGAGATCTGTTTGCAACTCCTGATTTCTACCCACAGTCTGACTGATGAGATGCTACTACAAGCCTGTGAGGGGCGGACAGCACACAAGTAAGAGCTCCTTTGACTCCTTTCTTTTCCCTCCCCAAGCCCACCCCTGAGGATGGCTTGTGTCATCACTGTGTTCATTCATTTTACTCCAGGAAAATCATTCCTATCTCTCTCTTGCCTGAAGATGAAGCATGTCCCTCTCCCTACCCAACTCTCCTACAGTCCCAAGAATTAGGCCCATTTTTCTCAATTTCCTTGTTCTAACTTGGGCCCTGTCTATCTCAGGGCTGCCCGTCTTGGGATCACAATGAAGGCCAAACTTGCTCGGCTGGAGGCCCAGGAACAGGCCTTCCTGGCTCATCTCAAAGGCCAAGACCCTGGGGCCCCTCAACTACAGTCTGACAGTAAGCCTTTGCAAAGAAAGAAAAAGAAAAAGAAAAAGAAACACAAAGAGGAGGAAGAAGCTATAGCAACTGAAAGGAATGGGGAAGAGAAACACCCAGAACAGACTGACCAGAGTATAAGGAAAAGCAAGAAGAAGAAAAAACATCGAGAAGAAAAAGGCCCATATGAGAGAGGGGGAACTGTAGAGAAGGAAGAGGCTACAGGAACAAGTGGGCTTGGGGAATTGAAGAGCAGAAAACAAACTGATCAGCCCCTCAGAAGAAAGAAGAGGAGGCAGCAGCAGGAGGAGGAGGGGATCTTAGATAAAGGAGGAGGAGGAAATAAGGAAGGTGTACGGAGTGTCAGGACAAAGGAGGTGGAGAACAGAGCATACACTGACCCATCCAGCAGAAGCAAGAAGAGGCAACAGTGTGAAGAGGAGGAACAGAGCAGTTTAAACACAGAGGATGAAGATGAGGGGGCTTCTGTAGATGGTAGGACCAGGGACGTAGAAGACAGAGCATGCAGTGACCCAGGTAGCAGGAGAAGCAAGAAGAAAAGGCGGCAACATCAAGAGGAGGAGGAGCTCTTGGACATGAGGGATGAAGAACATGAGAATGCATGGGGTGGCAGGACTAGGGAGGTAGACAGAACACATCCTGGGCTAAGCAGCAGAGAAAAGAAGAGGAAGCAGCAGTATCCACAGGAGGAAAAGGCTGGAGTCAGCACTGGCCAGAGAGCCAAAAAGAAGAAACGGAAGGAGAGAGACTGAAGGTCTGGTCAGGGTGGGCCTCATTCGATTCCTTTTCAGGAGTTAAGAGCCTCAGAGACCAGGACCAGTTCAGGTCTTCTGTAGAACCCCTTTCAACAAGGAGTCCCTCCCATGGAGGGAAATGAACTCTGGAACACCAATCTGCTGAGGAGAGAAAGAGGTAGAGCCATGCCCGAGTTGAGGGAGCAGGTGTAGGCCCCTTTACAGTTTCTAACCCAGAGATCATAAACTCAGGTGTCTACAGGAGCCAGGTAGCTAAGGGACAAGGGCCAAATTCCTAGAGAGCAAGAATGCAGAGAACCTTTGAAGAGGTATCCCTGCCCCAGTTCCAGCTGAATGCACACACCTAGGCCCAGTGTTGCCAGATCCTATGCTCCCCCACCCTTTTTTTAAAGAGGCTGAAAACAGATTTACTTGAAATGTTCTGATTTTAAAATAAAAACATACACAGGTCTGAATTCAGCCCACAACCATGAGCTTCTAACACTACGCCAGATAATAAACATCAGCTTGGGTTCCATATAAAAGCAAACCAAATTCACTGCCATCAAGTCAATTCAACTCATAGTGACCCCTCCTTGGGTTTCCGAGGTGGTATCTTTACTAAAGTAGATTGCCAGTTTTCCTTCTGAGGAGTGGCGGGTGGGTTTGGACTGCCAGTCTTCTGGTTAGCAATCAGATGCCTTAGGCACTATGTCACCAGAGCTCCCAGGGTTCCATATATACATGTATGTAGAGATATATGTATATATATATGTATATCCTGGCCTCTCCATTCCTGGCTTGGGTGCCAGGGCAAGTCCTGAATACAAACTAGATTTTCCTTGGTGGCCATCAAAGAAAATCCTATTAGTTTTGCTATACTGTTAAGTGAAAGGAGAAAGCTTAGGGAACCTCCTCTAGCTCCCTGTCTGCATCCTAAAGGTGTAAGAATCACTTGTATGTAAAGAATAGTACACCACACCTGGGAGCCTGTATTGCCTCCAAATGCCCTGTTAATCTCTCTTGTCTGTTGTTTCCCTCAGAGAGATGTCACCATATCCTGTTTTCTGGTTCCAGCCACCCATTAACCTTCATTCCCATGAGACCTCCCACGACTCCACAGTTTTGGGAAAGAGAGGTACTATGTTTTTATTGGGATGAATGCCCACCCACCTTCCCTCACTGCAGACGGTAGACACACTCAGTGTCAGGGTAGGAGGGCAGGTTCAGCTGATATTTCTTTTCCAGAGCAGGTGGTACAAAACGACCCCCCAGGTAGTGATAGCGACCAGTAAACTGGGTTGCAGACTGTTTAGGCGCTGTTAGGGAGATAAGCAAGTCCGGCTGGAGCCCTTCAGAGTTTCCCTTCTCCACATCCCATCCTGAAAAGAGAACAATATTCAGGAAGAACACATGAGACCACAGGTGCCTAGCCCCCTTCCACACCTTGCTTTACCCTAGTCCTAAAAAGGAAAGCCCCTTGGATCCCTGTCTAAGGAACTCTTGTCCTAGGAGCTCCATATAGCCCTGGGCTTTAGTTTCTTCATGGAGCTGGTATATACAGGGGGTTCTTGAACTCCGCTGCCCAGCCATAAGCGAGATTCATAAAGCCATGTCTCAGCCTTCCAGACAAACTACTTTAGACATGGTCTGAGCTTTCAGTCAGAAATCAGCATTCCTAGGTACTTGGGAGCAAGCAGGGCCCCAATACCTCCCAACTTCCATGGGCTCAGCACCTGAGGGAATGTCGATGCTGGCAACGGGCACAGTGATTCCACTCAGGACTTTCAAGATGCTCCGGAAAGGTTCCCGAACCTCACCCTTGAAGCTGAAGCCAAAGATGGCATCCACCACCAGCTCGTAGAGCTCGTCAATCAGCATGGCCTGTGGTGAACAGGCAAATACATAAGAGCCAGCAGCTACACCAAAAGCCCTTAACTAGAGAAGGCTGCCCACAGCACCCACAGGGTGCAGACCATTCAGAGACACAAGTGTAATTTTCTCCCTTATTTAGAGGGCATTCTGAGGCCTAAAGTCAGTCAGTCACTAATCAGGCAAAGTTGAAACTGGACATACCTGTTCTGAGTGCCAGCCTACCACTGGAGAGGCTACATCAGTATGGGATAGTCCAAGACTGGGAGTCAGGAGGGCTGGGTTCTGCTGTCAGTTCTACCATCATCTGAATCTGACTTGGGGCAAACCACTTCCTTTATCTCTACCTTGGTTGCTCCATCTGGGAAATGTGTTTTGTTTTTTAAAAAATATAAGTTCTCAAGTTTCCCAACCCTAAATCCACCTGTCTGCAGACATGGTTTGGATAAGGCAGTCACTCCGGTTCCTGAGGGGCAAAGAACAAGTTTAATGCAAGTTAGGGAAAAAGGACAGTGGAAGGAGTGACCAGGGAAGATGAAGGGGAAAGGAAGCTTTAGAGAAAGTCTTGAGCGCTCATTGAACACACCTTACGGAGAAGGCTCTTACAGCAGTCCTATTCAAATAGCATCTATCCCTGCCCTCAGAATTCAGAGAAGATGATAATTAACATCAGCCTGGAAATGATGGAAGGGCAATGGCTATTGGGGACATGAGGTACTAAACTGGAGCCTCCTACCTCTAAAGGCATTTCATCAAGAAAAGGGATGTCCATTTTCTGACACTGGGTCACCAGTGCAGTGAAGAGTGGCTTGTTAGACCTTTTGGGGTAGTAGATGGTTGGCTGGTAGCCCTAGGAGGAAAGGAAAAGGATAATTCAATCCCACATCCTAGAATCCTCATGACCTTTCCCACAGCCCCTCCCTACATACTCACAAAGAGCTTGAGGTGTCGAGCACAGACTAGGCCATCTCCTCCGTTATTTCCAGGGCCACAGATGACCAGGACAGTAGGGGGGCTCCTGGACAAGGATGTAGTGGGATATGCCTATGGGCAGAATAAAAGGGAATTCAGAGGGGATTCTGGCAGTTATAACCCAGGTTAGGCCCACCTGTCCCTCACCTCTGTGTCTTGGCCAGAGTCCTGCACCCCTGTCTTGCTCCTCCCCACAACCTGTCAGATCCTCCAAAGGGCAAGGGTTGCACCACTAACCTTAGCAATGGCTGTGGCACAGCTCAGCCCAGCCAGCTCCATAAGTTGGTCGACGCTGAACTGGTACTCGTTAAATAGCTCCTGGTCCACCGCCTGGGCCTCCTCCTGGCTGAGGGAAAACCTCTGGCCTGAGTGCCAACCCCTTACTCAGATGCTCTGTCGCTCGGGTGGCGCGGCCAACCCAGGCCCCGCCCCCAGGAGGGAGAGCAGGCCACTCAAGTATGCCCCGCGTGCCCGCCTGGAGCCTCGCCTACCTCAGATACTTCACCGCTGTGCTCGCCATGGTTCCTAGGTCCCTGTAGCCCCCCGAGTTCAGCCGCTGCGGCTCCCACCATGTGAGTCCGGAGCGGCAGGAGCCAGCTAGGCCTCTGACCCGCGATAGGCGCGAGCCAGCAACCAGCAGCCCGAGCCCCAGCAGCGCCCGCAACCCGGACATCCAGCCTGCAGAGCGCGCCCTGGCTCCGCCCTCCACGGCACAAGCGCGGCGTTTCTCCCTGCCCCATAGTAGGCCGGGCCGAAACACAACGTCTCCGGAAGTGGCGCATGGGTGGGCAGGGCTATGACCGCCTTTGAGCACTTTGAACCGTGTACTCTGCAGCTGTGTACCTTCGCTTACAGCCTGATTTCAGCACTGCCCGAGAGCATTTAGCTATTGCCTTACACTTCTGTTGTTATTTGCCATCAAGTCGGACCCGACTCACAGCGACCCCTCCTTGGGTTTCCAACGCAGTATCGCTGCGGAAGTAGATTGCCCGTACCAAAATAATATGCTTACCTGCCAATCGCTCTTTAATAAAAATGTGTAGTTTTTTTAGGAAGCTGTATATGATAGTATATAGGAGCCCGAATTCCTTTAAGTGTACTAGCTGAGTGAACTTGGACACTGTTGGTGTCAGTTTCCTCGTCTATAAAACGGGGACTCTAGTACATATTTCATAGGTTGTATGTATGCGTGTAAAGAAAGCCGTTGGCATAGGATGTGGCACATTCCCAAACCAAACTCACCGCCTAGATTCTATTCGGTCTCATAGGGACTCTACAGGACAGAGTAGAACTGCCTCAGGGTTTCCAAGGCTGGAGAGCACATAACAAGTCTTGACGGAAGCAGAATGCCGTATCTGACTGTTACATCTTTCACCCACAGAGCCGCTCGTGGGTTCGGACCACCGACCTTTTGATAAGCGGCCGAGCGCTTTAACCAATGCGCAACCAGAGCGCCTTATGTATCACATAGGGCTCAGTAAATTGATTTTATTGTTCTTATTTATATTACTAAGCGTTTTATATAATTTAAGATCCCTCCTGGTGTGGGCTCAACAGTACCCAACAGCATTACCTTCCTCTCCCTAGGAGCTCTGGTAGCATAGTGCCTAAGGCACTTGACTACTAAACAGAAGACTGGCGGTTCAAACCCACCAGCCACTCCTCAGAAGGAAGGCTGGGCAATCCTACTTCTGTAGTGATACTGCCTCGGAAACCCAAGGAGGGGTCACTATGAGTCGGGGCCAACTCCACAGCACATAACAACAACAATTACCTCTGGTAAACAGAGGTACTTTCCTAATCACCCATACTGCTTTATTAAGATAGGTCTCTGGGTAGTACAGAGGGTTTGAGCTCAGCTACTAGTTGAAAGGTTGGTGGTTCAAATCCAGCCAGTGTCACCGTGGAAGAAAGGTGTGGTTGATCTACTTCCATATAGCATTGAAAATCCTACCGCGTGGAGTTCTATTCTGACATATGTGGAGCTGCCATGAGTTAGAATTTACCAGACTGCACCAGGTTATTAAAATAGATATGTAGGTAGATAGCTATCATGAAGTTGATTCCAATTTACTCCAACCCTGTGTACATACAACAGAATAAAATGTCGCCAGGTCTGTCATCCTCCTCATTACAGGCATATTCAAGTCTATACTTGTTGCTACTGTACTAAT